GGATGGATGGATGGATGGATGACAGACAGCAGTGTGATCTCGTTGTCAAAGGTAAACTAACTAAGTTATCTCATAGCTCTTGGGCAGGTGTTGTGTTTGCTGGTTAAATTCCCAAACACTGGTGTTTGTTCAGCTCAGAACAGAGTCATTACCAAAGACACACTGGTTGTGATTGAATCAACTACTGTTTACACAGTAATTAAGAGTAATTAAAAACTAGGTAGTATTTACATTTCAAAGGAGATGAAACACAACGTCTGTGTTTTATCACGACCACAAAAAAAAAAAAACCATAACATAAATGTTACGTGTTTTTCTCCCTGTAAAAACGAAAACCGGTTCCACCCGGTTTAAAACAGTGAAAGTATTTTCCAAGCCACGTTTGAATCCAGCTTTTTCTCTTCACTTCCGACTGCAAACACTCTTCACTTCCTCAGAGTTTCTGTTGACCCAGTTTCAACACCATGCACAGAGAAGAACCTCATGTTGAGAAACGCTGGCGACCACCGAACGTAAACAAGGCCTGAAGGGAACACACGGCAGGTCGTTAGGGTTCTACGGGTCGGTGGGTCGGTCTGGACCGCTGCCATGTTGACAGTCAGGTAAACTGCGTCAGTATCGAGTATCAAAGAACCACGTTGTTCATTTTTATCAGGGTTTGTTTGTTTTGGTTTGGTTTTTTTTCTGAGATTCAAACTGAAGCGTCAGCATCTCTGTCAGGGTCTGAGGTTTCTTTCTTCACACTGGACGTCGTCGTCTCTCTGGGATTTTGTTCAGTGCAACAAACATGTTTGCTGGTCCTTCCAACAGAGAGAGTCCGTTTCAGTAGCCAATCACAGCTCAGCGGTTTATTCTTTGATCTGAAACCCGGAGTTTCAGTTAAAACCAAATTCAAGTTCTCCATTTCACAGTGTTTACTCCACTCTCTGGTCTCTGGTGTGTGTTTTAGGTCTTCAGGTTTCAACGTGACACCTTTATGGAGGAGGGAGGAGGGGGAGGGATGGGAGG